CTTGATAATACTTTTGACATAGATAAAAAAAAAAAACACATTGTTTAAGTCCTGCAAAACCCCCTTTATAAAGTCGTCCACTAATTTTACGGGTTGCTATATATTCTTATGACTATATTTGGTTATTACGTTCTAACATTTAACTGAACATTTGCCTTTCCACAATTATAAACTTGAATAAAACAACAAACAAGTTTAAAATAGGCTTCTCAACACTCACTTCAATGTACTAAATGCGTACGCTGTTAGAAAATATGAAACAAAAATGTACCAGCTAAGATACGGGAAGAAAAACGAGGCTCGTTTAGCTTTTCTCGTGTTTGTGTAGCGAGCACCAGCCTTTGGATCGATGCAATTGTTGGCTGCCGCTTAATGCCCGAACGAGTTACGCTCACCATTAGATCAACACCACTGGATCGACACCACTGGATTGATTTTTTCACTGACTGATGGTTATACAAGGGGGAGCTATGTCCACCACTGGATCGATGCCATTGCTAGCTACTGTTTACTACCAGAGGAGTAATGTCAACCACTGAATAGATACCACTGGATCGATTCTTTCGCTGACTGATGGTTATGCTATAGAGGGTGTTATGTCCACCACTGGATCGATGCTATTGCTGACTGATGGTTACTACCATAGGAGTTATGTCAATCACTGAATAGACACTACTGGATCGATTCTTTCGCTGACTGATGGTTATGCTAGAGGGTGTTATGTCCACCACTGGATCGATGCCATTGCTGGCTAATGGTTACTATCAGAAGAGTTATGTCAATCACTGAATAGATACCACAGGATCGATTCTTTCGCTGACTGGTGGTTATGCTAGAGGGTGTAATGTCCACCACTGGATCGATGCCATTGCTGGCTAATGGTTACTATCAGAGGAGTTATGTCAATCACTGAATAGACACCACTGGATCGAAGCCATCCCCTGACTGATGGTTATGCTAGAGGGTGTTATGTCCACCACTGGATTGATGCCATTGCTGACCGATGGTTACTACCAGAGAAGTTATGTCAACCACTGGATCGATTCTTTCGCTGGCTGATGGTTATGCTAGAGGGAGTTATGTCCACCATTGGATCGAAGCCATTCTGTGGCTAATGATTAATACTAGAGGGAGCTACATCCATTACTGGATCGATGCTATTGGTGGCTGATGGGTATTTTAGAGGGAGCTACATGTATGTCTATCACTTGATCAATGCTATTGTTGGCTGATAGTTAATACCAGTAAAGGGAGTTACGTCCACCACTGGATCGATGCTTTCGCTAGTTGATGATTATGCTAGAGGGCGTTATGCCCACCACTGCTGACTGGATTGATGCCATTGATGGCTGACGGTTAATGCCAGAGGAAGTTACGTCAAACACTGGATCGATGCCATTGATGGCTGACGGTTAATACCCGAGGGAGTTACGTCCACCACTGGATCGATGTCATAGTGCCACGGTAATGATGTGAAATAAGAAATTCATATTAGCAGAAATTTAGTATTGAGAAGATGTAAAGTTTCTGCGATCTTGGACAGAGATTATAATAACGAATCAACAGCTATACATTGCAGTGAAACAGTCTACGGATAAAAAGTAGGCTAAACTATTGAATAATTTTGCAATGGTTATTGAACCTTTTTCTGCTTTTAAAACCTGATTAATTTGACATATTACATTTATAAGAAATATCTGCAATTGTCAGCCAATATGTGCACAAAATTTTGCACAGGAAAGCTTAAGAGACTGGCGTATGATCATAATATTTCTTGAGTATTATCCGTAAGAAATAAGTCCACACAGTTGGTCTACAAAACATATGTCTACAGCATTGAAAGACCATTAGTGATTTTAAGATTTAGGTAAAATATCCGATTATTGCAGGTAAAAGTACAAAAATTATGTTTAGATTTTTTAAAATGCTGGTTTACAGTCTTTAAAAGGAAATTAGTCTTTTAACTTGTGGACTTGCCATGTTTCTAACTTGGGTTTTAAAATGCATGTGTTGTCTATAATCTCGCTAAATATAGCGGAATAAAACAAACTAGACCAAACGATTTCCTGTTCAACAATATCATAAATAAAACCATTACATTCTCATTTGGGATTTCAGGATGTTTCGCATGTATGCCGTAAAAATGTTTTTTTCCGCCACTTCTTGAAATCATATTAAAAATAAAGCATAGATTTCAGCCAATCCTGTGTTCTCGGATTTCTTTAGTCGAAGTTTGGATTCTCTAAATTCATGAAATGCAACTCTTGTGTTTAACATTTGACTTTAAATATTTGGACCACTGTTTCTGTACTGGTTTACTTATTCCATATTTTTCATTTTATACACTACTTGTCAGTTATTCCAGATTATGCACATCCGCATGCCTATTCTTATAAAACATGATTAACAAGTCTGTGGATGGGGTCTACATAAAATAGAATAAAGGATAAAAAAGAATTGGAAATAATACTGTCATAAATGAAAAGAATAGAGAATAATGGGTAAAAAAATAAAGAATAAAGCAAAATGGCCAGGAAATTTAAAGAATTCAGGAATGCAGACTCATTCGTGTACCGTATTTTCAGAACAACTCTAGCTATACGAGCTTCGATATGTTTTAAAAAGTGGTTAAAGAAGCAGTTACTCGTGCTTCTGCGTGAATATGACGAATTTGATTTGTAGAGCAAGCATATACAAGATTGAAACATTACGAAATTAGGTTAAATTAGGTTAAACTTGTATCACGATGAAATGACAAGATGACACATTAAGTGCAGTCTGTGGCTTGGTCATTATTACACTTTAGAAAACCTCAATATCTTTGTTTGAAGCAGAAGTGACAGCGAAGTAATATCTAAGCGTATACTAGAAAACAAAACAAAGAACTCTCTAGCAATTGTCATAACGTGTAAAGACAACTTCCTACGACTTGTGACATGACAAACACGTTTTATAATTTATGTGGCAATTAATTAAAAAAATCTGTGTGAAATTTGACAATTTTAATTTTGATAAATAAAACTTTGCATTTATTACATTCTTTATGTATGAAAACACATTTAGTCTGAGAATTTGAACAAACCAATCTGTTTCCCGTCAACTTCATTTTTAGAAGAAGGAACAGCTTTTCTTTTGAACGGGAATCTTATTTCTATGGTCTGTCATGGAATGTATGCTTAACTGTTAAATACAAATTCCAAATTCTATTAATCTCATTTACTTATTTTCTCTCTCCGTTTCGCCTACAAAAGACTCATCAGTGACGCTCAAATAAAAAAGAAGTTACAGCTAATGTGATCTATACCTGGGGTAGAAACCCCTTAGTATGTCGAATAATTCAAAGTTTAGTAAACAGTTTATTTATAAATATGACCATATCAATGATAAAAAATTGAAAACAACACGTTTAATAATTGCATGCGTCCGAAGCGCTTTTCCGGATTTACCTTCATCAGGAACGCTCAAAGCCAAACATTTGAAATCCGAGGATGTATAAGTACCGAAACAGTTTAAGAGCTATATGACAAAAATACCTAAAACAAATAGCCAAATCCATCTAAGGTCAATTTTGCCTGAGGGAGTTGAAACCTTAGTTTCTTTATAATAAGTCATGTCAACATTGAAATGTATAGAAATGTTGACTACTAAATGTGTTATAGGTTGCATTCTCTCAATATTTTTTTTTTCTTCAAATTTCATTATTTATTTGTTTATGTTGATAACAAGCTTACAAAACAGTATAAAAAAATACATTTTTCCTTAAAGTTCAACAATGGTTTACCCGTCATATCTCTATCACAGACTTATATTATACCAGGCTGAGTCAATCACTAGAATCATACAAATGAGCTTATACATGTATTTTAAACGTACTTCTGATAATACATTATTTAAATGAAATAAGATGTTACCAAAAATTTGAACACAACAACACCAAAGACAAATAACACGAACAACACATTGTCCAGACAGTCGTATTCGGTTTTGTACAGGCATAAAGTGTGTTGGAGTTAAAGTTTTACGTGCGCATATGATTCACATTTTATCTTATTAGGAACGCTTTTTTCAATCCTCAAACAGATGAGTAACAAAGGTATAAAACATCTTTGAATCAAGAAAAGTGTCTACACTATACTGAATTCAAAAAAGAATTCCTGGCTATAAATAATATTTTATAAATAATATCTGTATTAATAAAAAAAGATTGAATAAATTAAGATTTAACATCGATTTTGAACAGTGATGATAAGTGTCAGCAATTGATTATTAAATAAAAAATAAAATCGTAAAAAACAATAGAAAAAAAACATGTTGTAAATTATGGCAAATAGAGATCTATTTGAAAGAAATGGTAAAAGGGAAAAAGTAGATCATGCAATCATATGGGTCTGAAATAAAACTAAGCTAAAATGACAGTAAAGAAAGCCTTAGAATTGGATAGGATTTATATCAAAAATAAATTACATGGGCGTTATAAACTTGATTTAAATGGATTTTTCACTTCTTTTTATCGGCACATCATTGAGAAAATGGACTGATAGTTATAGTTCTTGACAAAAGAACTATGGGTAATTATTACATATATAATATTAGATACTCTTGATTGCGTCCCTTTTTCTCCAATTACAAGTAAAGTGTTAAATGGTCTTGTAAAGCGCGGGTAAAGTTACATGATCTTATCGCGGCTTCATATTGTCATCATCATATCGTACAAGTTGTTTATAACCTTTGTTGGATTCGGGTTTCAAATCTTTATGGAATGATTTTTTTTCGACTTTAGATTTTATCATAATTTTACAATATGGAACTCTCGTATGTCATGTCTAGAAAAATTAGATTATTTACCTGTTAACATATGTCCAAACTTGTAATTATTAATAAGGCTTTCATTACTTTTCAACAAGACAGCACACAATATCAGACAAAACATTATAAATAAATACAATAAAATTGGTGAAATGGAAATAAAAGAATAATGCAATAAAAATTATATTACATACTTAATTTTGTACTATGTTCCCTGAGTCATTCTCCGCCTTCATATTATCTAAGTCTGTCTAACCTTCAAAGAATATAGAAAATTTATGTAACTATGAGTTGAATAAGTTTTCTTCCGATTCACAAAAATTCTTTTATTTCAAGGGAAAAGCAGATGTCTATGCTATGCCAAATACACTTCTATCGTATGATATATTAAAACCCCAGAAGTACAAACAATATTCTGATGATTTATATCAATGTACAGAAAACACGATATATGATGCATAGTTATGTTAACATTAAAAAACATCATATTTATTTCCGTTATTTTTAATCTTTATACATTAAACAAAAAAATACATTTAACAATTTTGCTGTTGTGTTTGTTTGTTCTATTATTTGAAAACAAGTTGACAAAAGATTAAAGAATTAGACTCAAATCCATAAAAGTCCTGGCTACCGAATCAACATTTCTTCGCGTGTTTTGAGAAGCATCACAGATGCCACTAGTGGAACATGCTTTAACCCATCCGAAGCTCGTGTGCTCCAGAGACATATATAGTACTATTAATGTCTTGAGATCACTTAACTTTTAAATCAGGTTCGTCTTGTGCAATATTTATAGTTTTCTGTGTGAGGATTGCTGTAGACCGGTCTCGCACTTTTTAGAGTTCATGCTATCACCCAGTTTTTGTTTGTTATTATCATTATTTGTCATCTTGGTTGATTTATGAGATTTGAACATCAGTACACTGCTGTTACCTATATATTTATCCTTGGTTTAAGCGTCTTTCTATTACTGTTACCTATATATTTATCCTTGGTTTAAGTGTCTTTCTGTTACTGTTACCTATATAGTTATCCTTGGTTTAAGCGTCTTTCTGTTACTGCTACCTATATATTTATCCTTGGTTTAAGTGTCTTTCTGTTACCTATATATTTATCCTTGGTTTAAGTGTCTTTCTGTTACTGTTACCTATATATGTATCCTTGGTTTAAGTGTCTTTCTGTTACTGTTACCTATATATTTATCCTTGGTTTTATTGTCTTTCTGTTACGATATGGTGCCTAAATTAGGATTTCTGGTTGTTACATCATTTGTTTCTTCAAAGGAGAAGGTCCGGTAAGGGCTAATTTTGGCCTAAAATTTTAAGTATTTTGATGAAAGATTTTTGACATTTTTTAAACACTTAAGTGTTTACTCCATTCGATTTAATTAGTTTATGTAAAAGATTTGAACTGATTTGGTCATTAAAGATGCTAAAATCCAAGCTTCACTATGAAAAATCTATCAAATATTGCATAAAACGTCACTTTTCAGATGTTTTTGTCTAAAATGTAAGTGGCCGCATTCGTGTTCAGTCTGAACCTTTATATATGTGATGTATTATCATCAAATACAACATGTATTTAAATATTAAGACTGAACAAAAGTGCGGCCACTTCCATTTTATACAAAAACCATCTAAAAATTAGCCCAAATGCTAAAATTGGGAAGATTTCAGAAATTGCTTGTACCTGATGAATGTGCATAGTATTCCAAAAAAAACGGCCCATATTTATGTAAATAACGTATTCTACTTTCCTATATTTAGCTAAAATTTTATATTTTAAACAAATTGTAAAAATGCTACATTTTGGGGCAAAAAAGGGGTCTTACAGGGCCTACTCCTTTATGCAGACATTTTTTTTAAACTAAACGATGTGTGTTTTTGTGTGTGTGTTTATGACAAGTAGTATTGTCATTCTATACAGTTTATTAATATATCTTGTTTTTACCTTTTTTATATATCATTTCAGAATGTTAACAGATAGAGCGAGAAGAGAGAGATTTTATCTTATACCCATTCATGTGATTGCATTTTAAATGGTATCTCGTTTTTTCATAACATTTTCTGTCAATTCACTGCTACTTCAAAACAATACAGTTATTGTACCATCAAGCGTAGATGGCCAAAGCAAGATAGATTTGGTACAACTATTGTAAACTTTGGTTTTGAATGTTATTGTTTTGAATCGAGTGCCATCGATGAGTTTCACAAAGAAAAAACTCGTCTGGGTGCTGTATAAAGTTTAAGCATGGTATCTTCAATGAGTTTCTCCTCCATGAAAAAAAATATTGGATGGAATTTAAAAAAAACAAAATTATGCACTATATATAATGTATTGCATTGGTGATACCTGCACTCAACGATAGATTTATTTACAGCAAGAACTTTTTTTTTTAAATTTAACTGAAAATCTATTTAATATTAATTACTGTTTATGCTTAAGTACAGATTTTTGAATTTCCAGCTTGATATCATGACTGTAAATATATATCTTTAGAGTCATTCATTAATCACATTAGTCATAAATTCATTTTTTTATACTTGGTAGTGTGATAATGGAAAATATTTGTCAGTATAGATGTGCTTAAGTTTTCTTTAATATAAAACAGTCGTATTTTTGTGCTAACGAGACAATTGTGGCTTCTGTACGGTCAATTTCTCTGAGATCACAGGGGACACGTTTTTATTAGGACAGAGCCGACAATGTATTAGACAATCCAATCAAAAGCCGAACGCCTAATTTACAAACAATGACTGGGAAATTAGATTCTATTTGCAGGTCCCAACGCAAATCTATTCAAGGGGAATTCGTGACTTGCTTGCAAAATTTGTTTTCTCTAAAGACCGTTATGGTTGTTAAAGCAATAAAGACGAATTAGTCAGCTTTTGTAGTACGGCTTACAATGACATTTGAAGGAACAAGTGATTTAAAAGAAACGTTTCTTGTCTTGATGTAGTTCGATGTTGTTAGCTTCGGTACACATTTATCCAGGAATTTTGTTCAGAAGCTTTTACTGATCTTCTCATAAATTGGCCTGTAAACTATGGTATAGACTGCAACACATCAATTAGATTACAGGCGAATACTGACAAATCTCCTAAAACACCCTTATACTGTTTAAATCAGCTCTGTTCAATAATTTCATTGTAACATAAATTTCAATCAGACAGGCCTCCTAAAGAATCCTCAAATTCCTTGGATAGCCGTAATTCATGTTGATAGCCAATAAAGGGAATTTTATTGCATTTTGTGCACGTGTTGGAAATAATTAAGATTTCGTTGTAATTATAAGTTTTAGATGCGGTTTGGTTCTGAAACGTATAATTTATCAATTTAGAAAACGAACAGTGTGCTTCTGTGCGGTAAATCCTCTGAATTTAACTAGCATGATCACACTAATTATCCCGACTCGTTAATTTACCGTATTTGGATTCTGTCATAAGAAATGAAAAATCACTTTTATTAGTTAGTTATATTGACTCATCAAATACTGACATGATAGAATGACTGCTTTAACTTGACGGTTTTATAAAACTATGCGCAAAAAGAATGGAAAAAAAGATTGCATTAAATTATCTTATTCAATAGTATATGTAAAGGCATCGTTACACAAAACATCATCTTTTTTATGTGTACATTTTTCGTTGAATATTACGGTGCATTATTAAAGACTACACATCATTCCGATTTTACAATGATGATTAACACGTAACTAACACTGGTTCTCTCCCCTTTGCCGAATAATACATGTATGGTCAAATTTCGAATATATCTGTTGATGTGAACGACACAAATATGAATGCTAAATTTTAACTGTTGTATCTATTTCATGTTAAACTATAGGCTTAATTTTGGGACCAATGACATTTTATTATGTCAACAAATGCTTAAAGTTTGGCAATTATATATAATTTGATGATAACAATGGAAATATACGTTTAATCTACTAATTCGTAGAACTATTGCCTCTTTGTAACTAAGTATTCTATCCTTGATGACGTATTCAGATAAAATATCTGTCTGATATTCCAGGCTGATATGCCTAATTACTTCCTATTTTATCAAACTACGATATAATTAAGAGGCCATGATCGAGACGGGTTAGCTGAGGACAGGGAAAATGCTTCTGAATGTAGTAATGCAAGAACCGAAGTTACAAAAACAATGATATCCAACTGATGATTTTAATCCCGATTTCAGAAAGGTATATGTATCAATTAGAATGAAAGTCGTGACAGACAGCACGACTAAAACTTAAGTGAATGTCAGACGTGAGTAGTACAGTTACAAAAGTCGTAGTATTGTTATTTTCTCAAAGTAAGTAATTTCAATTATCGATTAAAGAAGCTGCTTTTTTTCACAAATTACTAAACACATTGATAGCTGTCAAAACCATATGTTTATCATTCTATTTTAACTCGCTTACATATATGACATATGCTGCTACATATATATGACAAAAGTTTCCGCTTATTGTCGTTTAAAGTGTAAACTTCATACATTTTTATGGTATGATTTGTAAAAGTTGTCAATTTACATTGAACATATGACTTTAAGAATAAAAACAAAAAACAAATTTTATATTTACAAAGACAGCTACACTGTCCCCTTTATTCATATTGTATGGTCAAACAACAATATTGTATTGAACAACTCAAAAGTTTATATGTGTTCCTTAATATTACTGTCAATTTGCGATGAAACCAACCGGATCTTTCCTCACAGTTTCTCTTTACAAAAATAAGGAGATGCCATTGTGAATGAGAGAACTATCCACCAAAATGATAAGGATGTGAAAAACAGGTCATAGTAAGTCCTTATACGACGAGCAAAACTCATATCGTATAGTAAGCAAAAAACGTTTCCAGCATGACATAATGTGAAACAATTAAAAGGAGAAAACAAACGGCCTGATTAATACTGAAACAATAAACGAAAAACAATTACAACTGACAGCAATCATTCAACAAAAAAGGGTTTAACTCATCAAAGACACAAAAACCGGTTTCAAAGATCAGAACACACATTTACTGAAAGCTAGTCCAAATTTCAACTTATAAAGTACCCTCTTTTCATAGACTAAAATATCAATTAGAACACACCCATCAGCTTTAATGTAATGACATAATAATCAATGTGAGACAAAAGCATGCTCTTGTGCAATGCCGATATACATGTATAGACAGGATTAATACCTGGATAGCAATACTATGTTAAGTTATATATTAAACTACTAAAAATAAAACCAATGTCAGAACCGATAAAAACCAATGTCAGAACCGATAAAACCAATGTCAGAACCGATAAAACCAATGTCAGAACCAATAAAGACAATATCAAAGATCTTACGAAATTGGTATATTCATAACCGTTCAGAACAAGTTTATTCAAAAGAGCAATAATTTGTTTTGATCGTTTCTAAATTTATGAACTCTAACCCCAACATCACCGTAAAATTAGGACGTGATATCCCATTTTTAATATAAATTTCCACAGATAAAGCCAAATTGTTGTATCTATAAGAGAATTTAGTAAATGTTTTCAACATTTTTGGGGATCAAAATCCCTGACTAAATAATTTGCCTGTTACATATAAAAATTTTCATTATTAAGATCTTAGACTTCACTATAGACACGGACATATAGAACGAGTTGGGAACAGTGCACCCCATAAGAAGGGTTCGAAGGAACAATATGGAACGAGCAAATCGTCTCTTTTGTCGTAAATTTTAGAAATGGATTTTCCGTGTGAAATATCCAAATTAAGAAAAAACGGAATTAGAACATATTGCTGTTTATATAACATTAACTTAAAGTCAGTTCCCTGGGATAAATTTCACAGTGTCATTGCTTATTTTGCACTTAATATACACCAGGAAGGGGCATTCATGTAAGTTAAGGCTGTTATTCCCTAATAATATTGCATCTGACTTCTTTGAAAAAAACAAACTCAGAATTCGAATCGTGCGTATCTAAACTAGTGTTATTTCAATTTTTTTTTTTTATATGAATGATTTATAAATTATCCATAACTTTGTTACACTATGCGTCATATGTGATTTTCTGCTGTTGTCCTAATAAGTTAGATGCTACTGGTTTGAAAAATCCAAATAGTTTATCACTTTTAATACTATGTATTGACACATGTTTATTTTAGAAATGAAATTTAATATATTGAATGCGACTATGAGAGATACTTTCATGTGATCGTGCAAGCGTCTATCATTTGATTGACCCGGACGTGAAAATCACTAGGAATATTGCAAATTTTCTGCTTTGTGTTAATGCTGCAATTACACAAACAGAATTTACGCACTAATGAACCGTTAATATAAAGTTACGGCTTCCCTTAATTCCGTCCTCTGGGAACTCTAATTTGGCGTATTCGACTTGTGGGTAGTGTAACAAAATTACGGACAATAATGACCGATGTTGGTCATCAGACGAAACTAGAACAGCTGTTATTCTTTGACAAATAACGGGTTATATCTAAATTCTTGTCAATTTTGATCGAAATCAATTAGAACTTTATCTGCCTCTAAACCAAAAGATCAAATCCAAAGCTTTATATTGATTTATTTTAACACTAAGTTGTCATTTATATAATTGCATCGTTTACTGGAAAGTTTGAGGGTTAATGGAACTGCTCTTGTGCTTAGAACGACCTATGAATGAAGATAGATGTTAAAGATTTGACTAGATATGAAGTTTTAATTATAAGTTTCTAATATACTTTCTTATTTCAAAAGATATCTTTATATGCAAAACAAAAAGATTCAAGACGAATAAAAAGATGTGTAAAACCTTGTATCTACATAGAATTGTGGCTGTTTTGATCTAACTTTTTATTGTATACCTTTCAAAGCAAGCAAAATTCAAATAATTATTTTTCAGAGTTTTTCAAACAATGTATCTTGATACGAGATACTTACAATGCAACATTTTAAAAATTTAAGTGTCGTTATATGCTATGCAGCTTGTCTGGTTAAACTTCTGTACTTCGGGTGACATTACTCTTAATACTTCACTGATTCTGTATTTTGTATGTGTTAATGTAAACCAACTTATTTCTTTTTCGATTTATTTACCAACTTTCGGATTTGGATTTTCCTTACATAAATACATCATGTCTTTTTCGATAATTTCATTTTGTTTGCGTGCTGTCTTATCTAAGTTTACACAACACCTTTTATTCAAGTTCATCTGAACATAAATAGTGAATCCGCCATTTTCTACACAAGGAAATGCCTGTAAAAGTCAGGAATAAGACAGTTGTTTGTCATTCGTTTGACGTGTTTGAGCTTTTGATTTGGCCATTTGATAAAGGACTTTCCGTTTTGAATTTTCCTGAGAGTTTGGTATTTTTGTTATTCAATTTTTGCATGTTGAGTTTACAAAATTTTGCAGCCTTTCCAAGCCAAGATATGTCAGTTTCATTAGATAAGTGTATTAAAACACTTACTGTTCAAAGACATCATGTTTTGGAAGACAGATTTGAACAATCAGCATTATCCTGTTATTACCCAAATTATCATGATTTTTGAGGTTTTTTCGTAATTAATTTGACAAAATATCAAATTTAAAGTGATCAATAAAAATACAGATATAAAACATAAGTCAAATTTTGACATTAAAATGAAAAATGCTTTGTAGTCCAGTCATGCTAGAGGAACCTGACAAAACATGAAAAAATATTGATAATTTATAAAAATGATGAATTAGGTGACACCTTTTTATAAATATATAAATTACTTACACATGTATTGATGACTATTCTGTCAACAGGTGCGCGTTGAAGTGACCGCTTCTCATCAGTATTCATACCAAATCGCCAGGAAAACACCATCATTCCACGTTTAAGTTGTCTTATAGTGAAGCATCATACCTGAAAATTTCAAATGGTTAAAAATTCAGATTTAATGACTTATATCGAATCTAAATGTCATTATTCAAATGAACCGTCAAACAAATGCACAAATCATTGCATGAACATTGTAAACCTGTCAAATATATATATTGATAATGATTTTTTTTAAACTGCAACTTTAAATACACGTGTAAAAACCATTTTGATAAATTTTATTTGGTTTAAGTTTGCAGCCGTAAGTTATAGATAGACCGAAAGAGTTTCTTACAATTGCAATGATTGAAAACTGTGACAGAAATAAGACTTTGGACAAAGAGTACTTCATACATGTATATAACTACATGTTTAAAATTAAAACAGTCTGATATCATTTTAATGGTACAACTTTGTGTTGTCATTGTAGAAATATTGTTATTTCCCATTCGTTTTAAAAATAATTTGATTGTTTTATCTGTAATGCCACCTTCTGCATGTTTTGTACAATTGTTCAATTTCATAGTAGTCACATCTCAGGTAACAATATACAGACCTTCCACAAGAATTAAAATATTACACAAATTCGATAAACACATACAAATTATACAGCAATATCTTACGGGATGGAAAACGTAAATCCGATTGATTAGTTTATGATTTTCATCGTCCAGGAACGTTAAAATCTTTAAACATCAAAAATATGTATGCTTACCAAAACTTCCATGTTTTAAACATTAACTTATGAAAACTGTTTATTTGGGGAACTAACTTCAGTGACTGTGACTTACATGCTTAAGATGTCAGGGAAATGTTGTTTTTTTTGTGTTTTTTGTTTTTATGTTTCTATGGTAATTTGGCATTTGCTTTTCGCCCCCAGAATCATCTCGCTTTAAGAACACAATAAAAGATAATACACTGACATTCACATTGTTCAATAAAATATTCGTATGACTTGTTTGTAAGGCTATATCTGTACACACTAACTTTACTGAATTTGGAATATAACAATAGGACACTTGCGAGGGTAAACCATAACTGTCTAACATAAATAAATACAATATTGATAAATGTAAATACATATATTAAAAATGTGTTTGATCTTGAATACCTCTTCGATTTTCATTTTGGACAAATTAAATATGTAGTGGGAATACCAATTTAATTTTTCCCAGCGTTTGAATAATACATGGTTATAAAATGTTCAAAGTACCTTGTGACATAATAAAGTTTGTCTGGTATAGATCATAGTTGGTGCAAAGAAGCTGAATTCTTTTAAACGGAGTACAAACGGTAATAAAAATGATGAATTATACCACAGACAAAATAAAATACAAAATATGTTGCTCTAAAACAAAAGTCAGAAGATGAATAAATATTCTTTTAACAAAGCAAAGTAAATATTGAACAAAAATGACACAATGAAATCATTGCAGCATATGTTAGTCACTATGGAAAGATTCGATCATGGTCCATTATACTCTTGTTAACTGCATACATTGTTCCTTGTCAATAAACGTACAACTTTATCCTTGCAAGATGGATATAATAGAGAAATGTTACACACATGTTAGTGTTAGTATGGATATTATCGGCCCAGCACGATCCTAGTCAAAACCCAATCAACTGTTGTAATCTTCTTATTTTTTAAATTATCGATACAGGTGTTAGGCCAAGAAACTTGTGCTAATGTATTCCGCCTTTAAGTTTCATTTCATTTATTTTCTAGCCTCTTGAGAAATAGAATTTACAATAAAATCTTTTTTTCATTTGAACTACAACAAGTAAATTGCGTGGTAATGTACAATATAGCAATGAAACTTTCAATTAGAGACGGATATTTCATCGTTTTTTTTCCAAAAATATATGCACGCAACGAGTAAAAAAAATATAGATGGGAGAAAATTCGCTAGCTACTCTGTGAACTATAATTTGGCAAGTATTCCTTAATTAAATCGAGCTTATACAATATTATCCTAGACTGGGAAAAAAAGGAAAATTATGATACATATTATAGATACGATAGTATGTCATTACATTAGTGAAGAACTATCTAAAATCATTGTTTTTCTACCTCTCCCGGGATCCAATGATGACGACGATGATGAACACAAATTTATGTTGGTGCTTTTACCCTTCTTTCATTTGTTTCCAGGTTTCACTGTATACACTTTAAATAATGCTAATAGATGCCCCAATACAACAATATCAACAATGACCAATACTCAAGACAGCACAAGACACTTGTTACATATAAAATATACAGCATAGTAAAACACAAGTTAACGACAAGAGCCACTCTATAAAGAGTTGTAAGAGACTATAAAACAAATTTGTAAATATAATACTAATACAAGTCAACTATCACGAATATAAAATACATTTTCGCTCAAATAAAATTCCAATAGTATAATTATACAAAATGAAAATAATATTTAGAAATGAAAATTTAATTTACTGATAAATTTTACTTGAACTAAATGTAAATTAAGGATACAAAGGGCAAATTTAGTATGCTCTTTTAGTATAATATTAAGCGAATTATTTACATACATACATGATAAAAGTCAGGCATGCTTCGTCAATACTATTCAATAAATACGGTCCCTGTAGCTGAAAAAGGTTTCATCACATGCAGCAGTCTTTTGTTTTTACTTAAGCAATGGAAATCAAGAATCACGTTTTTCTAAATTATTCATAATAGGAAGATATTATACATAAACAATGTATTTAACGCATGACCGGATAATGTTCAGTTAGCCATTTTTTTTAATACACTGTGGTAAACAAACTGAATATAATCTAATGTTCTGTTGCAAAGGCAAGGTACTCAATTTAATTTATATGGTTTTAACAACAAAAGTTAATGAGCAATAAATTAATAAATAAACAACATGAATATATAAGATTGTCCCTTGTGTACCAAAACACTCTATCCTGTCTTTTTGTGTTTGTTTTCATGGTGCCGTTGCTGGTAGGCGGTGCATGGTGTACAATATTTCATGACTTTTATTCACACCAGTTTTCCTATTCGTAATCCGCTGAGGGATCCGAAATCCCAGGAGCAGTTAAAGAAAAGTTTGTAACGGTTGGTAGGTAAAATCTTGATCCGATTCCCACGGAGTATAATTCCTCCGTGGAGGATTTTAATTACCAACTGTTACGAACTTTTCATTAATTGCTCATCGGGATTCGGGTCCCTCTGCGGTTTAAGATCGGGATATCCGATGTGTTATTGTAGTTTTTGACATACTTGCAAAAGACTGCATGTGTTATAAAATTGAAAATAATCACATATTAGCAGTTAAAATTATTGCCTACTGTCGAGCATATTATTTATTATTTAAGAGACCGAATTCTATGAGTATAAAGACTTTTACACAATAATTATAATGCGACATAAACAATGTATATAGAAGGATAACTGTACAAATGATAGTGTTTCTGGTATTGCATAAAGAGGAGTACAATCATAGTGCTAGACGGTCTTGAAAGTTGATTAAACAAGATATATAAAGTATTATTAGAAGTTATGTTGCAACCAGAAATAAATAGAGGCATTAAATTAATAAAGATCTAATTGTAATACATGACGATAATGCAACATGCGCGATACATTAAAACAACGATATACAAAATAGTGCAAACTGTCTTTTCTTTCTAAAATGGTTCACAAAGTGATGCACACTGCCTTTTCTTTCCAGAACGGTATACAAAATAGTGAGAACTGCCTTTTCTTCATAAAATGGTAAAAAAAAGTGGTACAAATTACCTTTTCTGAATAGAACTGTATACAAATTGGTATCAACTACCTTTTTCAAAATATTATACAAAATAGTGCAAACTTCCTTTCTTAAAAAACTTAACCCTATAAAAGAACATTCATTGTCACTACAGTTTCCAATTTCTTTTTATGCATTTGATGTAGACAAGACTAGTCCAGATCAATACATTTTTAATATTACCTCTTTCGTATTGGTCTGTACATTTGTATTTCACGTATGCAGTTCAATATAATAGAAAGCCATTGAAATATCTCCACGGACAAATTTCAAAGTAATTTGAAAGAATTTATTTGAAAAGTTATTAAAAAAACAACCATAAACAAATATTAAGATTTTAATCCAATTTACAGTTTCCTAAATAGTGCCCCTTGAGTACATTTCTTCTTAAGAAATTTTCCACTTGCTTTCACCTTAGTCTTCTGTGTCAATAGAGTATTCTTATCAGGCGTGCAATATGGGCGACATTAAAAGATTTCTTTTCAACACTGGATGAAAAGATAAAATAGCTGTAGCACACGTGCGAGCTAGGACTAGATGATAAAACCGGATTTAAAAGGTCTGCAATAATACACCAGGACATAAAGCGTAGTAGATTCGTACCTAGTTGGCTTATTAATTGTTTCATTATTTGTTCACGTAACAATAAAAAAGCAATTAATATTGATCTTTCAATGTGGTTGTCCGTGTGAAAAGAAATATGTAACGATTTCATAACTATTTTGAAAATGGTCTGTAAACAGAAAATCCGTGGTTAGTCTTTATGAACTTCTAGATATAGAGTCTTATACAATATAAGACATCGATTATCATATATGGCATGACTGGCAAAAGTATAACATTATCTACCAATGACAAAATGATGTGTAATTGAACATCAACAAGTCATCGTACAATAGGAAGGCAAGGACGACCACATGGTTACAAGATCCCGCCTTAATGGGGTCAGACAAATAAAGTATGTATCAAGGTCATTAAGTCAGTGAGCCTTAAAGTTCCCTAAACATAGGACGTTGGTGTAATAGCAAAGTAGCATAGAATGTATGTCGTTTTTCCTCATTTCCATGCTGCAGTAGTTTAAGGGTTCAGAAATATCGCCATAATGACAGCATGCTCTGGCATATAGAATCAACTAAGATATATAAACGCCATAGGCTGAATGAACAGGAACTTGGCGATATGAAAACAGGAATAATACAGACAAAAAAAAGCATATCAACAAAAATATCGAACTCCAAGGTATATTGAAAAGGGTAAAGTCCA